TGCATGAGCCAATTCCCATAATAAATCTCCTGTCATTACATCTCTGCATATCCTGCTGTTTGTGTTTCTCTAAAAAACCTCGACTAATACACCTTCCTATCCTTCACCTCTAATTGTTTCCTTCCTTGTAGCCTTCCATATCTTCTCCCTCCTCTTCATACTTCCTCTCTTCTCATCTATCCATCTTCCATTCAGCCTTTTCCTCTTTTATCCTCCCAAGTCAGCTTCTTCCCATGCAAATTATATCTTCTTTATCTACCACCCTCTCCTGCCATTCTTCATCTGATCACTCCCTTTCCTCTTTTCAAACCCCATTTTTGTCCTCAAACATTTTGAGAAGTCTGAGCAGCAAGTTCCAGCCCTATACCCCACGAGGACACTGGGTGCTTATCCCCTCCTTCTTGCCTCACTTGCCTCACTCTTGAGTCTGGCCCAGGGGCTGGGCCCAGAGTCAGAAAAATCCAAATTCACATCTACAGTGCATCTTGGCAAATTACCTCACTTCCATCAATCTTGTTTTATTTTTCAAAATGGATAGATGACAATGAACTTCACGAGTTTGCTGGGAAGATTAGAAATAAATATATTGACAAAAACAGTACAGTCTTCACTCAATGTTAAGACTTGGGATTTTGGTGGTAAGCAGGGGGGATTTTTTTCCTCTCTTTTTCTTCTTTTCTCACAACATTTCTACAGTGTATGGAAAAACTTTTGCAATCAGAATTTTTTTTTTTAAGAAATGTTTCTTAAACAAAGAAGCTGAAAATTTAAAAAGTAGGAGTAAGCATATAGTATGCCTTGTGTAGTCCATGACCAAAGTGGTGCTCAAGAGAGGACAATGGACATTGTTAGCAGGAGATACAAGCTGAATTGCTGGCACTGGCTGCACCTCTCCCCAACTCCCTGATAGGCTACCAGACACTGTCCCAGGCTGTTGCTGGTCCCTTTGCCCATCTCACCAAGGCTGGCCCCAAGGCTGGGGCCTGGCATGAGCTGTCCCAGAGAGCTATCCTCTGCTTTGGAAGTGGAAGAGATGATCAAGATGGCAGCACTACTGAGCAAAGTCCCAGGATGGGATGGAGAAGAGCCTCCCGCTTAGTCCCTTACTCACAGACCTACCGTCAAAAAGGTAATCCAGGTACTTGGACTCTACCCAGGGGGACCTGGCACTGGGAGAAGTTGCCTGGACGCGCCCCTTGAACTTATTGTACAGGTCCTGTTTCTTCAGGCACATCATGGAACACACCAGCTCCTGGGTTCCTGCACAGTTTTTCACTCTTCGCCACCGTTTGGGAGTGGCAAAGCTAAAGGAGGAGACAAGAGAACTTGAGAATGTGGGCTCAGCCTCTTGGGAGCAGAATAATTTAGAACAGGTGATTGCTCATCCCTTTGTTCCCCCTGGTAGCCTTCTGGTCCATCTGTCCAGGCAGGCAGCCATTGACTGAGAGAGAATAAGAACAGCCTGGGCAGGGGCAGAGGTCCTGGATCTAGACCAGTGGGGGAGGAAATCCTGGCTCTACCCCTCACTAGCTCTGGGACCCCAGGCAGGCCACTGCCCCAGGCCTCAGTCTCCATATCTGTAATACCTCCCTCACTACTGCTGCTTCTAGCACCTGCTGTATGCCAGGCACCATGCTGGGTGCTGTGTGAATGCCAGAGGGGAATGTGCAGTGCCATGACTCCATCCCTCTGAGAACACTGGGGTCAAAGAAGAGATCGGTACATTGGGCATTGTTCTGGGCACTGATAAATTGGCAATCCATGACAGAGGAGGTCCTGCTCTTCAAGAACTCATATCTGATAGGAGGGGGACAAGAGACACTAATCACATTAACAAAGTAAATCCAGGAGCTGGAAGTTCAGTGATAAAAGAGGGTAACACAGGGGTGACTGCTCTCAAAAGGGTCCTGCTACATGTGCAGATGCAGCGAGGAGAAGGCACCATCACGGAAGCAGACAGTAGCCTTCAAAACACCGACACTGACAAGGGACTTGTGTCCAAAGTAGATAAAGAACTGTTACAACTCAATAATAAGAAAAAAACTACCCAGTAAAAAATGGGGGAAAATATTTGAAAGGTCACTTCACAAAGGAAGATATATGAATGGCCAATAAGCGCATACGAAGATGTAAATTGAAGCCACAATGAAACACTACTATACACTCACTAGGATGTGTGTTTTTTGTTAAAACAAAAAAAAATGTGACCAGGTAAGGTGGCTCACACCTATAGTCCTAGCACTCTGGGAGGCCGAGGGGAATGGATTGCCTTAGCTCAGGAGTTCAAGATCAGCCTGAGCAAGACCAAGACCCATCTCTAAAAATGAGCCGGGTGTTGTGGCAGGCACCTGTAGTCCCAGCTACTCGGGAGGCTCAGGCAAGAGTTTGAGCCCAAGAGTTTGAGGTAGCTGTGAGCTATGATGCTATAGCACTCTACCCAGGGTAATAACGTAAGGCTCTTTTCTAAAAAAAAAAAACAAAAAACAAAACTGACAAGAGTATATACTGGCAAGCATGATGAATAATTGGAATTTGCACATATTGTGGGTAGAAATGAACCTTGGTACATTTTGGTACATTACCTGACATTTTCTTATAATGTTACATTTAGCTACAAATCTCCTAGACTTTACTCCTAGATCTTTATCCAAGAGAAATGAAAATGTATGTTTACACCAGACTTGTACGTGAATGTTCACAGCAGCTTAATTCATAGAGCTGTTATGGACTGAATTGAGTTCCCCCCAAATTCCTATGTTGGAGTCCTAACCCTCCATATGATTATATTGGAAGATGAGGACTTCAAAGAGGTAATTAAGGTTAAATGAAGTCATAGGGTAAGACCCTAATCCAGTAGTTCTGATATCTTTATAAGAAGCGGAAGAGACACCAGGAGCTCACACATACAGAGAAAATGCCACATGAGAACACAACAAGAAGGTGACCACTTTGAACACTTGTAAGCCACAGAGAGAGGCCTTAGGAGAAACTAAATCTGCAGGTACCTTGGCCTTAAACTTCCAGTCTCCAGAACTGTGACAAAATTAATTTCTGTTGCTTAAGCCACCTAGTCTGGCTCCGCGCCCATAGCACAGTGATTACAGTGCCAGCCACATGCACTGAAGTTGGTGGGTTCAAATCTGGCCTGGCCTGCTAAACAACAATGACAACTGCAATCAAAAAATAGCCAGGTGTTGTGGTGGGCGCCTGTAGTCCCAGCTACTTGGGAGGCTGAGACAAGAGAATCGCTTAAGCCCAAGAGTTTGAGATTGCTGTGAGCAGTGATATCACAGCACTCTACTGAGGGAGACATAATGAGACTCTGTCTCAAAAAAAAAGTAAGCCACCCAGTCTGTGGTACTTTGTTATGGCAGCTCTATGAGACACATGCAGATTTTGGTTTCAGAAGCTACTGTGCAAATATAACAAATACCTAAAATGTGGAAGGAGCTGTGGAACTGGGTAATGGGCAGACGTGGGAAGAGTTCGGAGATGTATGCCAGAAAAACCCTTGATTGCCTTATGAGACTGTTGGTAGGAATACAGACATTTGAGTGATGCTGGTGAAGCCTCAGATGGAAAGGAGGAACATGGTATCAGAAACTGGAAGAAGGCTCAGTGCCTGTGGCTTAAGTGGCTAATGTGGCAGCCACATACACCTAAGGTGGTGGGTTCAAATCCAGCCCAGGCCCGCCGCCAAACAACAATGATGACTGCAACCAGAAAATAGCCATAGGTGGGCGCCTATGGTCCCAGATACTTGGAAGGCGGAGGAAGGAGACTTGCTTGAGCCCAGGAGTTGGAGGTTGCGGTGAGCTGTGATGCCAAGGCATTCTATCCAGGAGGACAGCTTGAGGTTGGGTCTCAAAAAAAAAAAAAAATAAACGAAACTGGAAGAAACTAACTGGGCGTTCAGTAAGCACCGGGTGCTTTCCACCTCCTGCTACAGTTCTTGCATCTGTCTCTTGCAGTCCATCTTTGCCCAGGTCAGGCCCCAGCACTCGCATCTGGATCCCACAGATGAAGAATGTGATGGCAGAGGAAGAGCCCAAGCTTTGGAGTCAGACAGACCCTTGTTCCACTTCTCATTCCATGACTAGCTTTCTTTATTTTTTCTTTTTTGAGACAGAGTCTCACTATGTCCCCCTCGGTAAAGTGCTGTAGCATCACAGTTCATGGCAACCTCAAACTCCTGGCCTCAAGCGATCCTCTTGCCTCAACCTCCCAAGTAGCTGGGACGACAGGCGCCCGACCAAACACTTGGCTATTTTTATGTTGTTGTTGCAGTTGTCACTGTTGATTTCAACTGGCCAGAGCTGGGCTTGAACCCTCCAGCCTTGGTATATGTGGCTGGCGCCTTACCTACTGAGCCATGGGCACCACCCATGACTAGATTTCTTGGACAAGTCATGGCACCTCTCTGAGCTCACCTCTCACCTCTCAAGCAGGGGAAATATAGTGCCCGCCTGGTGACACTGGGAGGAGAAAGTGAAATATTCACACCAGGCCTTAGCACTTGGCATGGGGCTGAGGGGGACTGAAGGATCCTGAGGACATGGTTGCTCCTTCCCTTCCTGCTTCCCCCTCCTCACCAGTTGCAGGTGAATCCTCCTGCGGATTTGCTTCCCCCATCTAACTGTCCTACTAGACAACTCTCAACAGCTCCATCTCTGTTCAAATACAGCGCCTCTGCCTTCACTTTCAGACTCTTCCCGATTAGCTGTGGCTGCCTGGGCTTCCAAGCTGAGGACACCAAGGCTCTGCCCAGGCTCCATCGGGCCAAGTGTAATCATCCAGCAACATCTAATTCCCCAGGTTCAGCAGCAGACAGTAGTAGCTCCTTTGGCACCTCATTGTCTGGCTGGGACAGCTCCCAGCACCTCATCCTGTCACTCAGGAATTCCCTCCTCTGGTCCTCATAGCTCCACCCTCGGTCCTCACAGCTCCACCCTTGGTCCTCACAGCTCCACCCTCGGTCCTCACAGTTCCACCCTCAGTCCTCACAGCTCCACCCTCAGCCCTCTCGGCTCCATCCACAGCTCACACCAACTTTTCTCAAAAGTGCATCCTCATCCCAGGCAGGCTGCAGGCCTGTACATTCCTTCCTTGAGGCCTTAACCAAGAGCCCCTCTCCAAATGCCTGCCCTGTGCCACCTCCTGTGGGGCCCAGAGAACTAGTGAATGCAGCCACACCTGGAGGGGCTGCACCTGTCCTGGAGAAGCCCCTCCGCCTCCCACTGAGTCTCCCCACCCACCAGTCCCACCTACCTTTGATAAGCCACAAAATAGGTCACATCCTGGGGGTTGCCAGGCCCTGGGAGCCACGTCAGATACACGCTGAAGTTCTGGGAGAGCAGGGTCACATTCTGGGGAGGGGCCAGACGGGGCCTTCCTGTGGGAAAGGAAAAGATCAAGACACCTGGAGCTTCTGGCTGGTCGTGACACGGAACATTCTGAGCTGAGGGGTGGCACAGGAGTTGGAGGTTGCGGTGAGCTATGACAATGCCATGGCACTCTACCTGGGGCAAGAGAGCAACACTGTGTCTCAAAAAAAAATCTGCTCAGTGCCTGTGGCTCAAGCTGCTAAGGCGCCAGCCACATACACCTGAGCTGGCGGTTCGAATCCAGCCCGGGCCCGCCAAACAATGACGGCTGCAACCAAAAAAT